GCTGATATCAACTGATATTGCTGATAAAAAAAAAATCTCTAAGATATTCCACATGATCTGGCAGTAAAGTTACCAAGATATCGTTAGTAATGAACTCAGCTACTGGTACCTTTTGTTTCAAATTATGCTATTTTGGAAAACAAATGTTGATATTCTTGACGTAGCTGGATTTTTACATCGTGATATCAACTGATATTGCTGATAACAACAATCTCTCAGATTTTCCACATGATCTTGCCCTAAAGTTATAAAGATATCTGTAGTAATAAACTCAGCTACTGGTACCTTTTGTTTCATATTATGCAATTTTTTGATGGAAATGATGATATTATAGAAGTAGCTGAATTTTTACACCGCTGATATCCACTGATTTTGTTTATAAAAACAATCTCTGAGCTTTTCAACATGATTTGGCACTAAAGTTACCAAGATATTAATAGTAATAAACTCAGCTACTAGTACCTATTAGCATATTTATATACATATTTACAAATAGCGTATGCTGAATGAAGTTTTTCTCCTTGTTTGTGACGTCACAATGTGAAAATGACGTCACTATTTAGGTCACTTGTGACGAAAAATGGTTGTATCAGTCGAGCTCGTTCAACAAAGGACTGTACAATTTATTGTATATCTTAGAAATCCTTCTGCAGTATCAATAATTTGTACACAGTTTATTAAGATAAACGAGTTCCTATATATTCAATTAATGACTGGATTGATCGTTTTAGTGAAGGAAGGCAGATGGTTAAAAATGATACTTGTCATCTTGCCCAGTGAAGGCAAGTTTGAAAAGATAATTATGTGTTTTTGATTAAGCAATTTGCTACCAAAGACCTCCAATTTACACATTACATTTTATTTGAACAATAATATAATTACTAAATACCGAAGATATCGTTTACTTTAGATTTTAAACATATTAGATATTATAAAAAGGAGGCACCCTTTCCATATCCACCTTGAATAAAGGTATCTCCCCAGACAGAAGATTTGTGTTTTAATGGTCTCCATGCTTATTTTTATAAAGGATAGTTTTATCCACCCATTCTGTTGCCGAGATTTGATCATTTCTGACAGATGAACTGTTCTTGTCATAAAAATTAACCAACATGGAAAGAAATATAAAAATCAGAAAAATCTTTCAACTTTTGTGACAGAACGCTGCGGAAGGGTCACGTGACCGCAAATATCGCGTGATTCGCAAATGATCAGAACGGTGGTTGATGTGCATTAAAATCGGAGAGGATTAATTTAAAATATAGTCAACATTGAAAACAAATATTTTTTTTCTATGGAAGTTATTCAATTAGTACGCGAACTTTTTGATTACCCCTCGTACTTCGCAAAAAAAATACAAGCAGCGATTTTATGCAGCGTCCTAGGTCAAGGATTTTTTTATTTGACGTCATACTTTCGGGTATTTCCGATTTTTCACAATGTCCAATGACCAATGCAGAGTTGTCACTCGTTCCTCTCTCAGACTGCATGAGCTGATGGAAGAGAATGGATTTTTCGGAGACTTCTTCAAGGCCCTAGCTGGAGTCCGGGGTGAATCCCCCGGAAGCAGACATATTTTTACAAACAAGAGATGTTTTTTCCTTGTACATGTATTTGTATCCAGAAATTGAATAATTTTAAACAAAAGGTACTAGTAGCTGAGTTTATTGCTAACGATATCATGTTGAAAAGTACAGAGATCGTTTTTATCAACAATATTAGTGGATATCAACGGTGTAAAAATCCAGCTACTTCAAGAGTATCAACATTTGTACCCAAAAATAGCATAATTTGAAACAAAAGGTACCAGTAGCTGAGTTCATTAATAACAATATCTTGGTATCTTTACTGCCAGATCATGTGGAATATCCTAAAAATTAGTTTTATCAGCAATATCAGTTGATATCAGCGAGGTAACAAACCAATATCAACATTTGTCTCCAAAAAGAGCATAATTTGAAACAAAAGGTACCAGTAGCTGAGTTCATTACTAATGATATCTTGCTAACTTTACTGCCAGATCATGTGGAATATCTTAGAGATTATTTTTTTCAGCAACCTCAGTTTATATCAGCGAGGTAACAAACCAGCTACTTAAAAAATATCAACATTTGTCTCCAAACATAGCATAATTTGAAACAAAAGGTACCAGTAGCCGAGTTTATTACTACCGATATCTTGGTAACTTCAGTGCCATATTATGTTGAAAAGCTCAGAGATTTTTTTTCAGCACTATCAGTGGATATCAGCGGTGTAAAATTCCAGCTACTTCAAAAATATCAACATTTGTATCCCAAGTTTGCATAATTTAACACAAAAGATACTAAACGGTTATTTTTATAAGGTTCAAGTCATTTACTAGTAGCCAGTTACTAGTAGCCAAATTTACTTACTTCTCGTAGCCAGCTACTAGTAGCTAACTTTACCACTTGTCGTAGCCAGCTACTAGTAGCCAGTTACTAGTAGGTAACTTTAAATATCTTTCATTCAACCGTGCATATACCCGTAACGTTTATTAAAATGATATTGTATATTCTCATCACTAGTGAGCATTGGCTCTCAGATTTCTTGTTTCTTCAGCATTGCTCTATACTATGTACAACTCAGTTTGGTTTTCCGGTGTGAACCTGGTCATTAAAGCATTGCACAAGACCTCATTTGTACAATATGTCCTCTTAATGAAGCAGCCAAGTAAAACTTTTCTGTCGAGAGTTCCAAATATTGATATCACAGCAGGCATCAAAGTGCGTCCTATAGTCAATCCAATATCCTGCGCCATCAAATTTTGTTGCTCTCATTGCCCAAAGTATATTCAGTGGTTTTTTCTTATTTGTTACACTGTCTAAACTATATTTCTACTGTTGAACAGAACGGTATTGAGCCAGTTCCTGCGTTTCGGCTGTCTGCCAAGTCACATTGAAGTTGTAAACGGAGCAGCATATCTACTAGTACTCCAAGGCGATCCTGTTGTTGTAATTAATATAGGGAGGGGCTTTTGCTAAACTTGTCCTGAAAAATCATAGTTGCTCGGTTTTCCTGAAGCACACACTCTACTACCTTTATTTTCTTCTTCCTCATATAATGTTTTATAGCTTGACTAAGGGTACATCAAGTATCTATAGTCGTATTTGCCACCTGTTGCACCTTTTTCTCTTCCAAGAATGTTCCTGTTTTCAGATGTTCATTTAAACTGGATTCAAATGACCAGTATTCATTATCTACTCCCGAAACGTCTTCCTTGTAGGGATTTGTAGACGTCTTTGGTGCACTCTATTCGATACTGTCTATGGATTTTCTCAGTTTTTCTCGCATGGCGTCCATAGCACTTCGGTCGGCCAAAAGTTCCTCTTCTTTATCAGACATCGTATGATACTTCTACGAGAAAAGTATCTCTTCTAGAAATTATTTATGTAACGTCCATGCAGTTAAAGAGTAACATGAATGCTGATAAATAAAACGTAATATCTGCTTGTCCTTTTATTAACGTTAAGGCAACGTAACACTTGTTCTTTGTCCGTGTTTGCTCTGCTCCTCTGTTTGTCTGTTTAATGAACTTTTGAGCTTGGATACTGTTTTTTTTTTATCTCCATATACAGTACTAGTATTTCACGAGCTCACTTATGATATAAGTCTCACTATTACAAAAGGAATATGTCGTAAAAAAGTGAGACTGAGATAAAAAATAGTTTGTCAAAGTTTTATGGCCCCAGAGCAAGTCGTTCACAAAAACAAAGAATAATATCGACCCAAGGGTGTCCCCTTGGTACTGCGGATAATACTGGTGCTGATTCTGACATCATGCCTTCAACGGCCTCTGGCTGAGTTCTGTTATTTAGAAATGAATCACTTCAAGACAAATTATCGATTCCATAGTAATGTAGCGTTTCAACCCGGTACTGATGTGAATGATATTGATACTTTATTTAACGTCTTGGAGAAGTTCAGGATCATCAGCATCTGGGATAAATTTGGAGTTTGGACAAAAATGTTCGGAACTGCAGGATCGTCGTTTGCAGCATGCCAGAGAGGATGTTGTGCTGGTCGACTAGAACTGCTAATGGAGCTGTAGATCTTATTCGAGACACTTGTTGACATGGTAGTTGGATGGTTTGGTTTTCTCTCCCTTGAAAATCTGTGTTATCGCTTTATTCCAGTCTGTTGGAGTTTTGCCCTGGTGTAGTAAGGCATGAATACTTGTTATTAACTTAGTCACTTTTTTGAGTTAACAGGTAAGCATCTTGTTTGAAACGTTTGCTTTTGGCAGATCAGTCTGGATAGCAGCCATTTAACATCTTTTTGTCTGACACATATGGACTGAAGGTCTTTTACTAAGATGGGGAACCACTGAATCACCCTCAACAGAGAAAATAAAGGAGAACTGATTGTTCAGACTTACCGCCTTCTTTCTTATTCTCAACTCTGAAAGTTCCATTTTCTTGAGTGATAAGATGCCACTGCTGTCACCTTTCTGGTCTTCCACCAAGGTAAATAACTTCCTGTTGCATTTATCATCAAACATTAATATGGACTTCACTGTGTACGAATTAAATGCATACACTCTGCTTGAAATAATTTCTATGTGCGCGGTAGTGAAGTCAGTTTAATATCTTTGGAGTTTCTGAAGGTTTTCTCTTTCTGCTGGAATGCTTGTATGTATCTGACTGATTTGTTGCATCATAATTTGCTACACCAATATAGTTCAACTTGGCCAGATATATTATTTGAGTTTATTCGGGTACCTTGATTTAAGAGACACCCAAAGTTAATCAACTGGTAGGTCGTAGGCCGGTTGTGAACTGAGGTGAAAGTGGTTGAGGTATTCTCTCGATTATGCATTTAGGAACAGGATTTGTCGCCCTAGTGTCTGTCTTGCCGATACAACTTTGAATGTTTGCGTCAATCTTATGGCATCATCTTCACTATACAGATTCATGCAGGTCAGAAGCAAAAACAAACAAAGCCATACAATTTATGCCAATTTTATTGGCAGTGTTCCTTGTCATAACTTGATGATATATAAAAGCCATATAAATATAAATGAGAACTTACTTACTAAGATGAAATTACTAAACCAATAATGAAATGAAACAAACCATCCTACAAATACTTAAAACGTCATTAACAGTGAATGTCTCGATCTCTATATCGACACAAAATGTCAATTTTGAGCGAATTTCATTCGGAATAAATACCCACAATACCTGGTAAATATAAATCTCAATTTTGGTTAACATGAACAATTGATAGATTGCATTTCGATACAACTACATGTATGCAAAAAATATATAAAATGTGGCAAAAATTTCACATTTTGACTGTGACACATTTTTTTTAAAGACGAAAGGATGAGATGTATAATAAAATTTAATCGGCTTCACAAACGGGTCCTCACAAACAAATACTAGTAGTGTCGATAAAATGTCACTTTAGGCTCTTGGTTTTGACGTTGGAGTCACAGTTTGCACTCTGAATAACCTCCTAAGACAAAATACTTGGAATACTCCCGTAAAAAGAACAACACACATTTGGAAAATGGACCAATACATGACGTATTTGTTATTTCCGGTCACAAGATACCAATCCTTTATGACGTGCATTCGACTCTCTGTTTGATGGAGTTTCATTTGTTCTATGGATGTTTGGACTCCAGCAAGTGCACCCTTAATGTTAAAATAATATAGACTTCTATTATAAATATGTACTGGAGTTTACAGAAATTTGTCAGCTTGTTTATATGTTTTAAATTTTGATAATAATTTTCCAATCCAGAGATTGGAATTTTATGTCCTTTGAATTATTTATTCCCAAAATTAAAATTCTTAATATTTGGAACAAATCCCTTTTTCCCAAAGATATTTATTATCATAAGAAGATAAATTTACTCCTGAAGATACATTTTGTTGCTTTTTGAAAGATATACAGGCATGCTTTTAATTTTTATTATTGATACATATATAGGAAAACGATTGCAACGATTTTTCAACAGGTAGCTCTTAACAATAGCTGAGGATAAAAGTACTTACAGTGAAATTGTTGACAGAGGCGCTGACACTTTGAATCTCCTCTAAGTATTTGGTCCATTCCTCTGTGACGTACGTCACGATGTAGATGTATACCAGCTTTCCAGCGAATCTACTGGCGGTATTGTCAAAACAAAGTTGATACGCACCTTAAAAAAAACAAAATAAATCTAAGATTGTTTCATGTACACTATATTTGGTCTATGAAAGTTAATTATTTCCTAATAAACATAGGCAAGAATTAAAGTCACCTTTTAAAAAATCCTTTTCTCTGTGGAGAAAACGTTAAGATGGTACGTACCCTTCTTCATAAATAGAATCAAGAATAATATAGATTTATAAACCGGTAGTTACTTTAAAAAACTGCAAATATTAGGCTTTCAAAGTTTTATCATGTATTTTTAAAAAAGATGCTTTACCATACATCACCGCTACATGGTCTATCTTTCCGTCTGTTTGGTAGGGAAGATGTTGGATAATTTGATAATGAGGATCGATCAGTGCTACGTTAATTGACCTATCTCCTCCCCGCAAAACCTGAAATATATCCTCACATGGAATAACTTTTGGTTCATAGTTTTGTCAACGACCTTTGGTAAAGTATTATTATTATTGTAAATGATTATGAACTTTTTACAGAGTTATAAATCTTTATCTTTTTTCAGAAAATAAATGCTTAATTATTAATATATGTAAAACTCACAAAAAATGTTTTCAAAACATTTGCATGTTGATTTGATGTGATACTGTAGTAAGTAATTACATGATTTTTATTACTAAAAAGTTTATAAGGGGTGTTAAGAAAGTTCGTTCCGGGATGGAATATTTTCAAAAATTTCAAAGTAGTGCTTAACTAAAGAGATGAATTTTTCAAGTTTGACAAAATCACTAGAGTGTGCTTCAAATTGATATCAATTCATTTCTAGCAGGTAATTATAGGATTTTTCTTCCATATGAAAATATATATATATATATATATATATATATATATATATATATATATATATATATATATATATATATATATATATATATATATATATATATTAACATCTTTAAAGCACCCGAATGAGAGAAATGCTGGTCATTTTGAGTGAAAATAGAGGATAATTTACTTTTGTTTCTTGATAGCTTATCTTGCATCAGACAAGCAAATGAGCGTAGGTATGAGGACGATAGATCACTTTTCAAAACAATAGGTTCGTGATTTTGAAATTTTTTACGGATTTGATAATTATTTCATAGTATTCGAAAGGATGTTTTGACCTGGTTGCTTCATGTATGTCACAAATATGCGTCTTTATTAATTTTTCTAAACAGACATCATCTGTTTCAATACTCTCCCTCCCCTTATTGATGCAACAACAGACAATTAAAACCTTATCAATAGCAAGAATGGACTCTGTAGACATGAAATATCACAAATTGTATATATCTTCTCACCGTAATTCTTTTCGAAAATGAAAGAAAAATGTGGAACGAACTTTCTTTACACCCTTTATATTTATTTCTTAATTGATATTGAGTCATCAAAGTTTTCTACTTTTTTCCTAATAGACAAATCTACAATATGAATAATTGTGCAGAGTTTTGTAATAAATAAAAGTGATCATGTTTCTATACTTTATTAAATAAGTTTCATTTACATGTATTCATTTGGTTATTTTTGAGAGATCATTATTTATATTATTTTTTAAGAGATACCACAATTAGCTATTAACTCAGGTAACATAATCAAATACACCTGACAACCAAAGAACTTTATCTCAGATATAAGATTTCTTGTTACTTGTGAATTTACTTGAGTTCCTACGTAAAATTTCGCACACATATATTACAATTATGTCATTCATAATTTAACATTGACAAAATGTCGTCTTTTTTCTTATAATGAAAAAATTACCTCGAACTGTACGTATAAATTGGCTCCCTCTGCCACTTTCTGTACAAAACATTCCTCTGTTCCCGCCTTTACGTCGACCTTGAATTCATGCTGAGTTCCCGGAAGTGCATCGAAATCGAATTCAAAGTTAGGAAGACTACCTCCAAGTTTCTCCGACAACGACACTTGATAGAAACAGAGTAAGTAAACAAGATGTGTAGATTTTGTGGACAGCGCCATGTTATCCACGTGTTTCTTGTCCAGAACTGATAAGACATGCCACCACATTTAGACTATTTCTTAACATTGATTTGTTCATGGCGACAAAATAAAGTTTCAATTTTCAAAATAAAATTTCTTCTTTTTTAGCTCAGCAAATCGTAAAAAGTACACAAAAATGTCTTTCAGGATTTTAATAAAGTATTTATAAATCAGGTTTTGCTTTAAAATATTAGTATATATCGTAATGTCATTCAAGAACCTCCCTTTTCACCTTAAATACGCATGCATGCGTCAATAAATGGACCGCTTTATAGTCAAGAAGATATTGTTTCAAAAAATTATTTCTACATTTCTCCTCGAAAAGTTGTTTTCTTTGCAAATTTAACATATTTATTTAAAATATAAACTAAAGAGATTCTGAGATATTTAAATATTAACTTTAGAGATCATGAGACAAGTTAGGATTCTCGGAGAGATTCTCGACAGATTTAAAAGAAATTAATAATATGTTAAAAAAGTTTTCTTTAAAAACATAAATAATTTCTATAGATTACTGATTTTGATTTTTCCCCCCAGATCTTTGGTGTTCAAAACCAAGATACACACAAATTTAAACATAGAAAAAATTAGAAAAGTAAAGGTAAGAGGAAGGTTTCCGTCCCTTTTCCTTTCCCAGGAAACTCACTAACACTTCAGGACTATCCCAGGGCAGTCACTCCAAAGCAACATTGCGTATACTGTAAACCAACTTTTATTCGCGTGCGAGAATTTTCGCGAGGTTCACAAGAGCCTCGTCATCGCGAATTTTTTTTTCGCCAATATTTAATTATTATTGAGTATCGAATATTTCTGATCCAAAAAGACGTGGAAAATAATCATCGCGAACTATTTACCTCCACTTAATCGCGGAATAAAGTCATCGCGAATAAAAGTTGGGGTACAGTAATTTGATCCTATGCTTCTTTAGCAATCTAATGAGATTGCTTACAAAGAGTTTATAACTTCAAAGTAACAATGAATTGACAAAAAATGTGAATAATTGCAAATAAATAAATTCATTACAATAGTTTTCAGAGAATGATGAAGAAGATCCCTATATATTCCGATGTACTAGTATCCATTATTTTAACCCCACCTAAGATCTCGTGGTATTGGTTCAAGAAAATACTGCGGTATGATTCTTCACTATCTGATTATTCCTCTATTCTAAAATATCACTTATCATGGCTCTGTTGTTCCCAAGAATATTTTTTCCTTTATATTCCCTATGATGAAAAAAGACTATCGCACATTATAGGTCCACATTCTCTTTGTAGATCTCGAAGAGCTTAAATACAATTTTTTTGGCTTTGTGGCTCTTGAGCGAACATTTCGTGAATGTTCACCCAATACTGTGATTGCCAAAATTTAGCCCCATCCTTTGCCGCTGGTAATAGATGTGATAAATTAGAATCCACAAAATGTTAGAAAACTTCCTCTTATGAAACATTTCTGCTGAATGGTTCAGTAAGAAATGTCATCGTATTCAAAAGAAAAAGAACACGAGAATATATTTTCGTTAATTTTTTAATGGTTCCCTTCAAAATACTCTCCTTTGACAGACACAGATAATTTCAACCATTTTAGCCAAACTTTGAATGCATTCATATGTTTTGGGGTATGGTATTGATGAACTGATAAATGGCAGAAACCAAAGCATTCCTTGAGTGAAGCACATCTTCTTCCTGACAAGTGTTATTTCAATTTGGGGTAAAGAAAAATGTCACAGGGAGACAAATCGGGTGAAAAGGGAGGGCTGAGTATAACATGAACCTTTTCTTTTTTTTCCAAAAATGATCTCACCAACTGGGATTAATGTGCTGTAGCGTTGTCATGAAAAAGTCGAGTGTTGTGAATTGTAGACTTTTTTCACTTCTTTCGTAGTGTTTCTTAACATTCTTTAAAAGCACATTTTCATATACCTGTCCGGTGATTGATCTGCCCTTTGGAATAGCAACCCGAAAAAAAGTCCTTAACTATTTAAGAAATTTGCATATAATACTTTCCTAATACTTTAACATCGTTTTGAGATAATAGGACTTTTGCCTTTTAGTCAACCACATCTTGTTATCAATTTCCTCTGAGGTTCAAGATAAGAAATCCAAGTTTCATCACCGAAAAATATGGTGCATCGCAGTTTTTCGCTTTTATTTTTCTGTTGCAAGATGGGGTATCCATCGTGCACTAATCTTTCGGAGGCCAAGGTGTTTGTTTAAAATTGTAAACACTGTCCCCTGATGAAATTTCTACAAAATTTGCCATCTGTTTAATTGACCATCATTAGTGATGACATTGATTATTTTTGCAAGTATTACGTCAGTTGAAACAGTTCGAAGTGGTCCAGGACGTTGCGTATCCCTTATGTCTGTTTGGCCGTTTTTCTATTTGCTCACCAACCTGTAAACTTGTCTCAAAGACATACACTTAATTGTTACCATACACATCACACAATTCTTTGAAAAAATTGTAAATCAGACAAAATAAACGCAGTAGTTAAAATGTTTAATAAAGGTTAAGATACATCTATACAAGCGAATTGATTTAACAAACACACACTCTTTGATTATTTGAAAAGATTTTTCTGTCCATACCTTCAAGTCTTGACCGGTGCAGTCGTTTTCCAAATCAAGAAAAATTGCAAACTTATCAAATGGCAGGATTTCCTAACATTATGGTAATGACATAATGGACAAACTTTTTGTTCGTCAATTTCTACTCTCTTTTAAAAACGTATGCCTGTTAAAAAGGGACTGTTAAATCTAACTTGTTTTAACTGCATGGGTGTTTTCTTTGAATTATCTCCATTTTCATTTATGAATTCTTTTTCAGATTTTTCCACTTTCTAGAAAGAAAATGTGGCCTATCAAACGGACAACCCTTAGCTTTTGAAACCCTTTCTAACAATTTTACTTCGAATATGTCTTCTGTGTGGGACGGCGGTAAACAATTGACAAAATCACTGTTACATTCTTCCTTGGGTCTTGTTAACTGGAGAATAGACCCTATATCACAATGGTGAACAAGTGTTTCGTATAAAACCTTAAAAAGTGAAATAGTTAGTAACTCATGTTTCAGTTCTACAATATCACTTTCTTCAATCAGATATTCAGGATACTTTTCCACACATCGTTTAATACTATCCTCCGTTAACTCTGCTGAAATCATTCCAGCCCATGGCATCATGTCTTCGTTTAATTTGTAAACTCTTACAAACATTATAAAAGCAAGAACATGGAACAGTTCCTCATTCTCCTTTTTCATGCTATTGAAATGATTTACTAACGCAGTCACCGGTGATTTGGTGAAATCCTTATTAGAGAAGAATTCATGGTGCTGACAATACATCGACATTAAGAATGGGTTACCTACAAGTCCTTGACTGAGGGACAGATTTGATAATACAGAAGAAAACTCTATCAATTTAAACCAACAACTTGGATCACAAACGCAGTGGCATTCTTTTTTCAACTCTTTCCAAATCAATAACATCTCTGTTTTATCTAGATGATCATAATCGATCAAATTTTTAATGTCCATAATCTGTACCTTACCTAATTTCAAAACTGCATCATATATATGTTGATGTATTTCTAATAAAACTTTTAAATGACCTTTACATCTTTCTCTCTGTTTTTAGACGGAGGCTTAGCCTCCGCTCTATTGGTACCGCTCATCTGAGGCGGAAGGGAATTTGCGATCGCCATCTAGCGGCAAATCACGTTAACTTTGATTAGCCTGGTCCCCAGGCTCATACTTTCCAAGGCAGGAGTACACGAAGCAAAACAGGGACAGGGAACCAGGCTAAATTTTGATAAACTGGCCTGCCTGTCTGATATCAGATATGCGCTGTATACAGACAGGTGATCAGTGATGTATAGAGTCTGCTGCTGACACGCTCATTGGCTGATAAAAACTCTCGCTGACACAGAATTTAAATTGTCGGGGAAACCAAAACAGATCACCGAGTGCAGTTCTCTGCATCTGATTTTGATGCAATTAATCTAATTCGGTCACAATATTTTCCAAAAACAATACATAATTCTTTTTTTTCCTCATGAACCTATAATTATCTGACCTCGCCTGAGGGCTTTTAAATTAGTTTGCGAAGGTCCTATCACATTAATACCCTACATTACCTAGGTAAAAGAAATCTGCATCATTGTTTAATTGAAACTGACATATTTTAAATGTTCACTGACTCAACAGAGAGCTGCGTCTTATCTGTTTATAGCACAGGTACAGAATCTCTGCTGCATCTATTTTTAGAATTCCTTATCACATATTTCAGAAGATTTTGCAAACTATTTAGATGGGACAAACTGACCCACATGTTTCTATGTTTACATGACCAAAACAGTGGCTTGAATCTTACTTTGTGGTGTAAATTAATTAAGTAATATTATGACTAATCTGTGCAAAAAAAGGATGCATTAAAACACTGTTGTCATGGAATCTGCAATAGTGACTCAAAGTATGCCCACAAAAAATATATGCAAGGAGTTAAATTTATTAGGTTTCCCAAACCTTGGAGAGATATTGAAAAAGTGTCAAAGATGGGTGAATGCTTGTAAGCGGTTCATTGGTGGATCCAAAGGAGGGTAGGTTCCGGGGTTGGAAGCCCCCTTCATTTTTTGTCAAGTGGAGAGAGAGAGAGAAAGAGAGAGAAAAAAACATTTTCCGAGAATAAATTAAAATACATGTATTTGTACGTCTAACTTATGTATTAAATAGATAGATTTTCACACATTAAGTTTCTTCCACTCACTATTCCCTTTTATATGAAAGAATATAGAGTATACAGTACAACCCTGGAACTCCCCTTTCAAAAATGGCTGGATCCACCTCTGAAACGGGAAGGATTTTCCACGAAATTGGGTATTATCCGTAAAATCACATATAATACTGGATATTAGGGTATCGTTGAATCCATGAGATCTAGTATTAAGGCGTTGTAATCACTTTATTAAACTTAAACAATGGGATGGCACATTTTGCGGTACGTGTCAACTTTCACCTGGATGCAAATGTTTTCTTAAGGTATCACCAATCAAGTAAGAATTTGGAAGTCAGGATTAATGCACACTGGAAAATAAAAGCTATAGAGCTTAGTACATTTCATGATCTGGACCAAACAGGCGTTTGTTCTGCTTAATATTTTTCATAATGTTTGAAATATTTGCATCCTCTTCATGTTCATGTTAACAGAATTGTTAATCAAAAGTTGAATGTGCATGTTTAGATCTATGCATTGATATATCTGAATGCTTGTATCTCAGCTCCTTTTAGTCCTGAAGAGTTAGATATACTAAAGTACTTTTGGTTTTCTCACATTTCAGGAAGCTCTTACCATGAGTCACTAAAGAATTCAAATTAATATAGTTTATTGCAATTAGAGTGGTTTGTCCTTTTGATGAAAAATGGGAATTCAGTAAATTACATAATTAAACATTAGACCACGATAAATAAATGAAGAAGATGTATTTGTGAAACACTCTGGCCCCCGTGTGGCAATATAGCGAAGATGCAAATTTAATATATTGGTACCAAAAGTATGGTATTCTTACTGGAAATACAATAGTGAAATATGAAAGTAGGCTAAGGCTAAAGTTAATCCATAAGTACGGAAATCTCCAAGGTAAAGGTCAAAAGGTCATGATTGTTGGTATGCTATGAAAGGTCTTCCCACAAAGAATACATATGTGAAGTATGAAGCCCTAACCCTTCAAAAGTTATAAAAAATGATATTTTTTTTAAAGTAGGCCAAACTCCAAAGTCAAATGTCTTGCTATAAAATGAAAGGTCTTGTCATAAGGATTAAATATATAAAGTATGAAAGCACTAACCCAAAACCTTTTCAAGTTATGGTCAAGATTTGCTTTATAAAAGTAGGTCAAACTCCAAGGTCAAAAGGTCAAAGTTCTGGGTCTTCTTACAAGGATTACATATTTACGTATAAAAAGCACTATTTATCCCTTACCATTCAAAACTTATGGCCAAGGTTAAAGTTTTTTCATAAGTATGGAATCTCGTAGGTCAAGGTCAAAAGGTCAAGCTTGTTAATATCTAATGAAAGGTCTTTCCACAAAAATACAAATATGAAGTATAAATGTCCTGGTATCTAATGTTCAAAAGATATGGCCAACTACCTTTAGGCAAATGTTGGGGTCAGAATATGAATAAAAAATTCCCAAAGAGACAACAAATCATGTTCATTCCAAGCCTCCGTCTATCAGTACTTTCAGTACTTTGATTTAATAACGTGTTCAAATCTTGTGATAGTTTCGAGCGAAAATACATTGCAGTTAAATGTCCCAAACAAATTGTCACATCAGAGGAAAACGTTGTTGATTTTATAATCAATCACTTCTTCTTCATTCATATATTCCTCAAACCAAACCGTCCTCCGTCCCTTGTCCTCGTATTTTCCTTGTATGTATCTCATGGCAGTTGTTTTACCACATCCAATGGCGCCTATACAAATAACAATGTCTGAAGATTCTAATAGTGCCAGAGCTGACTTAATGTTCTTTGTCACAACAACTCCATCTTCAACGTCACAGTTTCTCCTCAAACGAACGCCTAAAATGAATATTATGATTTAAACAATCCCACAATACATAAATATTCCTCCTTTTTACTAAGTAATTTCCAAGAAACCAATTTATATACATGTATGAAAATGTATCAATATGTATATTTGAAAGAAAATGAAATATTTCTTACTTTTTATTTTCGATTCCAATGCATTACAATCAACATTGTTGGAACTAGTAAACTCTTTATTAAAAAGTTCTCCAAATCTACCAATCATCCGTCCATACACACCCTGAAGATTTGGAGCGTCAACTTGATCATCACAATATAGGTTCCACAAAATACGGATCCGTTCTATATCAGCCTCAAGAGAGTCATCATTATCTGTAGGTTTATAACCCCACCCTGTCCCGGGAGGTTGTATATTGTTACAGAAATTTGTCAGCAAAGTAAAAACAACCACCATGTCTAAATTATTGTGAGCGTCTTCTGTATCATTCACATTTTCCAGAACCTTCAATAAATGTTCGCCAAAACGCTCATTTAGTACGAAAGCCCAGAAGGCTCATTCGAGATTCAAGTTTCGAAATACGAGATTCAAAATTCGAGATTCGAAATTCGAGTTTCGAGATTCAAGATCCAGATTAACCAATCAAAAGGCTCATTCGAGATTCGAGTTTCGAAATACGAGATTCGAAATTCGAGTTTCGAGATTCAAAATCCAGATTAACTAATCAAATACGGGTTCAACATTTGATTACTCCCCTTTATTACGTTTTATCTATCAATAAATCGTTTAATATATTTATAACAAATGAGTCATTTGAATAAATTACAATACAAGAAAGAGTGTTATATATATTAGAAGGAAAGTTAAATAATCATTTGATTTTTGATCAGCAAGATATACTTCAATTTGTATTATGACTTCTTAAATATTAAATAGAATACATATATCAGGAATATATATTTTTTTGCATTGTCTACTGTATATAAAGGGTTGCTGACATAATAATACAGTGTAAATAGTGTCTAAAGATTAACAAAATCCCCACCCCTACCGGCAACACCTGCCAATTTTTCCCGACACTGAAAATGTTACTTTAAAACTTTGAAAGGCAATGTAGCCTTGATAAATAAAAACCGCGCTCGTTTTCCTAATAGAGGGAATACATTAAGATAAAGTTTTCAATTACTTATGTTCATCTAAGGCTTTGATTTCTTGAACTAATTAACAATTATATATACAATACAGATTGCAAATATGAATTAGAATAAATGCAGCATTCATTTTATCTGATATCAAACAGTAGATTAGTCTAAATTAGCTGCAGAACTATAGCGTTATGGTTTTATATTTTAGTCTCTGACCATAGCGCTATGGTCAAAGACTAAAATATACTCGGTTTTTATTTATCAAGGCTACAAGGATTTTGTTAATCTTTAGTCACTATTTATAACTTTATTATTATGTCAACAATTCTTTATATATAGTAGACAATGCAAAAATATATATATTCCTGATTATGTATTCCATTTAACATTTAGGAAGTCATAATATAAATTGACGTATATCTTACTGATCAAAAATCAAATGATTATTTAACTTTCCTTCTAATATATATAACACTCTTTCTTGTATTGTAATTTATTCAAATGACTCATTTGTTATAAATATATTAAACGATTTATTGATAGATTAAACATAATAAAGGGGAGTAATCAAATGTTGAACCCGCATTTGATTGGTTAATCTGGATTTTGAATCTCGAAACTCGAATTTCGAATCTCGAATTTCGAACCTCGAATCTCGAATGAGCCTTTTGATTGGTTAATCTGGATCTTGAATCTCGAAACTCGAATTTCGAATCTCGAATTTTGAATCTCGTATTTCGAAACTTGAATCTCGAATGAGCCTTCTGGGCTTTCGTACATTTAGGGATTCAGAGTAAATTATTATTTTTTCTTTCAAGTCCCACACGTTAAGCTCAGTTTTCAAAATATGAGTAAGATAGTGTGGAAGTTCAAGAATTTTTGAAAGAATTCTCATACGTTCTTCATCGGCCATTGTTGAAATCTTTCGCACAGGCTCTTCTACAATTATCAAAATATTTAATCAAAGCAGTACTTTCATAATTGCAAACTTAATTTTGAAAAGTTATTGAAATAATTGATACTTCAATTTTGCAGTCATAAATTTTAGTTTAATGTTTTTTTTTTTTTTTTTTTTTTGCTGCTCAAATAATTATACATGATTTCTAAAAATTTCTTAATTCGAAGTAATGGTAGAGAATACTATGTACTTGAAATAAAATCTCAGTAACAAGTGGCATTCATATTTGTTATATAAATTTACCTGTCACAGGAATCATCTGAATGTTCTCCTCTTCGATATCTAAAGTATGCATATAACAATTTCAAATCAAGTTTTTTTTTTTTGGTATGACAATATACATAAAAGTAATATCGGTATTGATATTTGCCATTCTCAATGAAATCGACGGAATTTTTCCGTGTACATGTTGATAAATTTATTTCTTATAATAATGCTGCAGCTGCATAGCAAAGGTAAATTTAATAATGCTATCAATAAACATCTTTCAAGTTTGAAATTTTCATGTAAATAGATATATGGCTGCTGATGAAAAGAAAAGGTCTCTTAATTTTTTTTAAATTTAAATTCTTTACATTGACTACAAAGCAAAACTAAACGTTGACAGATTTTTAAGGGGCAGCCTGCAATCAAGGAAACACATAAATAAGTACTACCTTACCTGTGGATATAAAACATATAAAACAGAACAGATAAAATATTACTTGTTATAAGTAAGATGCTTCCTGGTGCAAAGAACTTTATTCGGTAATAGCCAATATTCGCCCCCCAAATCAAACTTTGATGGAGGTATATTTAATTAAGTTCTTAAACAGGGGAGTATATGCTGATTTCAAAGCACTGAATAATTTCATACGTAATGATGTCATATGTACGTAATGACGTCACAAACATGACGTAAATTTTAGTTTTTTATGAATTCTACAGAAAAATGTACATATTTCGTCGATATTTTGAGTAAAAGTCACCGAGCGCATGTGTGTTCAGGATCAATATTTTGATATAATGTGTAGAATGATAATATCAGTGAAATATGTAAATATTGTTCCTGAACAAGCATGCGCTCTATAAATTTTAAAGCTAAAATTGTTGAAATTTTGTCCATTTTGTACTCTTTCTGAAAAAGGATATAAAATCAGACTAGTTTGTGACGTCATAAAAACAAAAATTGTGAATAAACTGCTTTGAAACTATAATATGTTCTGTTAATATATAAGTATTTCTCATACAATTTATTGAATTCAGCACATTTCAGGAAGTTTTCAAAATCTGACTTTTGTGGGGGCATGTATATGCAATATACCGCATATAGTTCTTTTAACAAATCTTGATTTATTTGTATTCACTGGTTACCGATAAACAAATTCTACAGAAAATGTTTCAGAGCACAAATGTATACATTGTTTACATTCTTTTTCATACCTTCTGATTGTGTATCTGCATTTTTGCGTCGAAAAATTCCTACAAAAACATAAAGTCTTTACTCTGAAATTTCTGTCACATATCATGGATTAAGAGATCAAGTAGAGAGAGGGCTTATAATGACATTTGTCACGAAAATTTTATATACATGTACATTAAAAAAATAGTAGAATGAGGTGTTATTATTAACAATGGCACTGATGACATACCTGGTAATTTGTTTCTATGGTACAAAACAAATATAATCACAGCTGAGACTACAATCAGCATTGGCAACAGCAAACCAAGTACAATTCCAGTACTGGAACTTTCATCAATGTCAGTCCTTATATAAAAAGTATAATTCGTTAATAATCATAGAAAACCGATGAATCTAAATTTGGCAGTTTTTGGACATGCATGGTGAAAATCTTGAAAATTTTATCATAATTTTATTTCGTCATAATTGGTTGATTAATACCAAAGTGCAGTTTTCAAAGCATGAATTTATTTTCAAACTATGTACCCCCAGTACCCCTGACACAGGGGCCCTAAAATTAACCAATTTGTAAGAGGTGTCTTTCTTTATCATAAATGTGTACTTAGATCATTGGCATAATACTAGTACCCAGGAGCAAAAAAATTCAAAGAATTCATGCATTTTCACTATATAATCAATAGAGCCCCACCCTAACACCAGAACCCTTGACCCAGGGCCTATGGAATTCCCAAATTTGGAAGAGGCATCGTTCCTCATCATAACTATACATACAGTTCATTCGTTTAATATCCAGGAGCAGAGAAGAAGATTTTTAAAGAATTTATGCATTTTCACAACATAATCAATAGAGCCCGGCCCTAAAAAGAAGGATATGGAGATAACGAAAATCACAATTTTGGTAGAAGACTCAATGCTGATAACAATGATGCAAACAGTTTGACTACTTGTTGACCAGGAGTAAAGAAGAAGAATTTTAAAGGTTGCATTTAATTTTAGTGGTTTTGGCCCCACCCCTCAAGCCCCAGGGGGCAGGGACCATGAAATTCACAATTTTTGTTCCCCTTCAACCATAAATGCTTTATGCCAAATTTGGTTGAAATTGGTTGAGCGGTTGCAGAGAAGAAGCTGAAAATGTTCCCATGTGAACAAACGACGGACGACGGACGAAAACGGAAAGCAATAGGTCGTACACTGAATTTACTCAGGTGACCTAAAGTGATCTAAAAATACAACCAGATCATTTGCAATAACTCTATATCTTACTGTCTTATTGAGTTCGTTGTAGTTTCTTCTCCCTCTGGTTTCCGTGTGGTCAAACTATTTCAATGTAAAACATACTTGTTAAAAAGAGTTGCATGGATTTAAATCGGCCCCTTCGCCCTATTTTCTTTGTAGATTTTTGAAAATTATCTCTTTATATACTTGGATCCCATTGGCAATTTTGAGCACTATTGTGTCCTATCCCCTTCCCTAATTCCCCGGCCGCGGGTGATATTACCTGATTAAAGTTTATTTACATTAAAATGTAATTGAATCTTCAATGCACAATCAACACTCTGTTATTCTACACAATAAGTGAATAATAACGAATACAGAAGGTGTATTTTTTTCCTTTTAGAAAGAGAGGGAGAGAGAGGGGGAGGGGGAAGAGAATGGAAAGAGAAAGCTAGGGAGGGGGAGAAAGGAATGCATGCATTCATAATTTTTACATCCATCTGAAAATTTATTGTAAAAGCTTCCAACAGTTCCAGCAGGTATCAAACATATCCTGATTATTTATTTTAAAAAAATATGTTGGCATATTTTTGCCCTCCAATTGTCAAATATTTATTTCGACTTGTAATACCTTTTGGTTAACTTGTCACTTATTCATGTGTATAAAAAACTAACATGAAAAATGGGTCCATGCCCAGTAAAGCCATCAGTCGACAACATATTTTACGACAAGTCGACATAAGTATCGGACAAGTCAACATTAAGATCTGTCAAGTCGATGTATTATCTGACAAGTCAACATAATTTTCTTACAAGTCAACATAATATTCTATACAAGCCAGCATCATTGGCTGAAAAGTCCACATTAGTTACCAAAGTTTTCTCAGAAGCTGACGAGAGGAGAGACATATCTTTAATTTAAAAAGAAAGTGAAAATAACGAAGAACAATCGAATCTGTATAATATCTGTAAATTTGTAATTTATGATACAGTATCTCGTCACAGGTTTGTTATATAACATGAGGCAACTTACCTATAAAAGATTCCAAAACAATCTTGGATTGAAAAATAAATTTTCGTAATTTAATGTTATTTAATGTTCAGCACAATCTTGTTCATTTATTTAACAAATTCGTGTAAAGTGTATTTTTCCGTATAGGACAACATTACTAATTTACCTAAGGGTGCTAATAGTCATCTTAGTATAATTGTACACCGTAAAGGATCATTGGAAGTGTTAAATAATGTTAACTCCTAGATATGTTTACCAAATGCAAGAAAAATGGGAATAAAATGCTAGTCAAGTATGTAGGGCTAAAGTTTCAAGATCTTATTTAAATCAAACATACGTAGATTTAAGATTTTTTTCTAAATATCCTAACAAATTCTGTTTGTAGTCAATTTGAGTTCAAGATTCTTTAAAGCATAGGTAATAAGAGATTACAGAACTGTACTAGCCTCAACGAATGTTGTCTTTTTATTTAGTAGGCAAAATCCAACATCAAACTAATAATCTAGTAGTGTACATCCCAAGATGCAACGCTTATGTAATTTTGATCTGAGAGGGTTTGCAGATATTTTGGAATAGACTTATCCAAGAACTTCAAACTAGTCACCCATTGAAAAAAGAATTCAAATCCGGCATAGTAATATACCTGTACCCAAATTTCTAACCTGGTCCATTATTCTGAAAATGTATGTAAGAACCACCATCCGAAGGAAGTCCATTAGTGTGCATCCTTAGGTGTATCATGTATGCAAGTTTTATTAACATAGGCCCTATAGTTACTTAAAAATAAAGCTGTTTCAAACCATTTAACCTGTTCACTCATCCGGAAAACTTAAGTCAGATTAAGTATGCGAAGCATTATTGGTAGTTTGCATCCTTAGACGCTAGTTTGATCAACATAGGGCTTATATAGTTTGAAGTACTTTAAAATGAGACATGCACCAAAAACTTTTAACCTGCACCAAAAACCTTAACCTGCTCCAAAACATTAACCTGATCTCCCTTTGCTGAAATTGCAGCATCTGAAACATTTACCGATACAATGAAACACACTTTGGTCTCTGATTAATGTATGGCTTAGAAGAACAGTACCAAAAATTTAAACTTGGGACATCGACGCTGACTTCGTAGAGGTGAGCTAAAAATGAATTGTGGTAAAAGATTTTGAAGGGGTTCTGGCCAAAATTTTCCCCCAAAAGCTTTTCAGTGAAAATTTAAGGTAAATGAAATATTTATTTCGAACCATATTCTTCTACATGTATAAAAAAAATTCTTACATTTATAAAGTTCGGATGTAGAATAATGTCGGCCATGACATCCAAGTGTTTTAAAATTACATGGCACTGAATCAAAATTGTGTGCAACACCATGAAGAACAACGCATTCTCCTGAGATAAAAGGAACAATAACACTGTTAACAACAATACGTCGAAATATAAATTTAATTTTGAAAATTTGAAGATGCATCTTAAAAGCACATTTACTTTATTTCAATTCAACAACTGCATTCATGAAAACTTATACTAGTATGTTAACTTCACTTTATATTTCAAAAATGCTTGACTCCTCCACCAGAATGACAGATGGACTGTGACAAACGAAGAAAGTGCACTTGACTTACTTTTTCGCAAATGAAATAAAATGTTTTATTTAAAAAAATCTATCGGAAATGTTAAAATACATTCTAATACTAGTAAAAATTAACTTAAATTTCTTATGGCTAAAATACCAGAATATGTAGTGCTGATAGGGACAGGAGAAGCTCCCCTGCTTTTCCAAACTCTAGAATTTTTTTTATCAAAAGGCTAGCCCCCCCCTTCTGGTTGGAACATATTCAAAAATGTGTTTATTGAGATATGTTATTATACAGCTCAGTCAGGCAGTGTTCATTTTGTCAAATAATTCTCTGGCTGTCTCCCCCTTCTATCAAAATGAACACTATCTGTCTGAGTTGTATTATAACATCCCCCACTCATATGAATTAAATTTTGAGTTTATATTCCTCAAACGTCATATTGCTTCAACAACTGTTAGACGGAAGAACTTTACAGGTTTTTTCAAGTATTCTCAAGGCAAAGTGGGTGCTTAAAATTTACCAGTCTATAAATACTTTAGTACCTGGTTTGATCAAGCTCTCTTGTGTACATATTTCACCGAGTTTCCCGGGATAATTCTTTATGGAAGCACACAGGTAGTCAGGTGTTTTTCCTTTGCAATTCTTTATTTTAGCCGTCTTGTTCCATTCTGTCTGGTTCGAGGGACATTTATTGACTGTCACTAATGAGGAAGTCTGTGTTTGAATGATCTCTGGCACCAGAATAAGGAGAAATAAGAAAATAACTAAGCCTCCCATATTTGCAAAAAAATGTTATTCTTGTATTGAAATATATTTTTTCCTGAAAAAAAAGAGAAAACTTTAAATGCACATATTTTTTTGCATATATCCTGCTGCATTATTATACATGTGATTAATATTTTTTTTTCATAAATCCATCATTACAAGCTTAATAAGTGTATTATTAGGAATTCCCAAAGCTCTGTATCCTACTTTCTCCATTTAGAGATATAATTTTTTGATTCTATTGCTTTAAAGTATCTAAAAAATAAAAATTCATTTTACGATTCGTCGTTTACACATTGTCGATACAATTACCTTGTCAGCAAAAACGATTTATCATTGTGTCAAATGCTGACTGACTATTTTCATAATAATTAATAGTCCAATATTTACACACTGATTTGACGACGGATTTCTCCGTTATTTCCCGATCAAAACAAGGATCATACGGCGGATGTGACCGGTCGGCAGGGGATGCTCACTCCTCCATGGGACCTGATCCCACCTCTGATGTTTTTGAGGACTATGTTTGCTTGCTCCTATTTCATATTAATTTATGGACTGTTGATCTTTAATTCTATTCGTTATCTCCATATGTTTTATTATTATGCTTGATATCTAAAATATCAAATATACTATATTATCAACAATGAAATATGAAGATAAGCGTTAAGCCAAACGTTATCACCACATCCCCTGTCTAAATGAATTAGAAATCAATGTGACATCCTTGCTTATTAAAAACATGCACTTAATTTGCTTTATACTAGGAGCATAAATATTTTCTCTCTGTTTATACGACAACCAAAAGCTGAGCATAATGCTGTTCTGTAGGCGTCAATGCTCTGCATAAGCGACTGGTTCTTGCTGATAGCATATATCTCAATTTATCATATATAGTGCAAGCTCTTGAGTAGCGAAAAAATTGGGAGACATACATGTAAGGCAGACGGAGAAACAGATGAAAGGGTAATATTACTAAACAAAATAAAAAAAAAATGGCGATCAGGATGGAAAAACTATTCATTTAGTTTGTCATACAATTAACTATTTAGTATTTCTTTAATTTGTCCCAAATTGTCTATCTAGCAAGTAAACTGGCAAATTTTAAAATGCAATTTCAAATAGCAAAATGCGAGAGTAAAAAGTTGCGAATGTTTAACCGCGAAAGAGAGATATTCTATAGTGACTTTGCCATGGGATTTTTGCCTTTGTATTTTTGCCAAAGTAATGTTGTGTTCTTGGGAACACCATGTCGGGAGTTCGTAAATGTCAGAATATACTAAAAATTGAGTGGTAATATGATTCGCTCATATAAAAATTAAAACATGGAAAAGCCTGGTTTATGTACACTCAATTAATTTTGAGAACATTTAATTAAAAATATTTTTGAAAACTAGTGTGCTGAGTACCTACCCAAGTCAACTTTCGTTTTGAACTTCCTGAAACAGCTTTTAGATCATGCCGCAAATACTCAACTTTATTGCCGTTAAAGAAATTCAATAAAGTAACAAACGTCTAGTGACCTGCCTTACAATATTTGCCAGTGTTCCTCGTCTTTTGTTACCTGTTAAGTGCTAACTAATAGCATAAATGAAGTCACGATGAGCTACAATATCTGTGAAAAGTTGTCATTCGGTCCTTTCTAAGGAAGCCCTAACAAGGTAATATTCATAGGCTATCTCAGATAGAGTCTCGACCTTTAAAGGGCCATGGACACAGTTTCAACTGATTTTTTAAATTGCATTTTAATTTTTACAAATCCAAGGTATGGCATCATCTACTGATCAGCCAAAATTTAAACATCAATTGTTTATTTACAAACGAGATAGAGAACTTAAAGTTTATGTAAACATAAACAAGGCATGAGCCTTGTTTATGTTTACATATAGGAAATACACTGTATCATATTTATAACAAAATGAAATTCAGCAAATCAATAGAAGCTGACTAATTGAATTTAGAATTAACTTAAAAAAAGCTATCTGCTTTGTACGAACATATATTAGTATATTAACATTATGTAAACAAAACATGACACGGACCATGTTTACATAACAAAGGTTTGGAGCTCTAAATCACTCTTGACAACCGAAGTTCAAGTTTTTGATGATCATTAGTAAGACTAATTAATAATTTGATAAAAATTGAAAAATAAATTTGAAAATTTTTAGCTTAAACTGTGTCCATGTCCCTTAAAGACAAAAGCACATTAGACATGATTAAAAGTTAAAATATCACCGTGCAATTCCTGGAAAGAAATTTTGATTGGCTAAATGTCAATTTCAAGTCAATAAAAGTCAAGTTCAAAAAATTACATCGAAAAGAAAAATCGTAGTGTTTTTACAAAAAAATGTCAAAATGAGACATAAACAAATTTTATTTATTAACTTTAATATATTAGACCCGCTCATTTGTTTAGTTTTGCTTTCTCTCTGGGATTAGTGAAACATGGAGATAACGAACAATATTCGTGATCAAAAGTCCAAAGCAAACACGAACCTCCAAACCATCAGAGGTGGGATCAGGTGCCATGGAGAAATAAGTGAAGATCACCTGCAGACCGCTCACACACACACCGTGTGCTCCTTGTAATGCTCGGGAGATAACGGAAAAATCCGTCGTCAATTCTGTGTATATAAATAATGGACTAACAATTAGTATTAAATACGTCAGTCAGCATTTGACTCATTGACAAAATGTATTTGCTGACAAGGTCATTGTATCGACCATAGAACTTGCGAAATGATGATTTAAACGGGACTGCTGATATGCGTGTTTCATTAACTTGTTTATCAATAATTTTGGAAATTGTTTATATGTAGAGCCTGTTCTTGCGTGTCGAATCAACTGAGATATATAAACTCCGTATGCAGATGATAAAAGTAAAGCCATCACGTTTATCATAGAGCTTGGTTGTTAGATTACTAATGTGAACGTCTTTTTCCAAGTAAAATATCCAAATATGAAACAGAAATAAATGTGTCAGATTCTGTAGCATCTTTTATCTCAATGTCACCGTGATATATCATATCGACATAAGAATGGAAATACCTTTTTTAATTGACAATACGTCGTCGATGAAGGATATGTAGATATCGAACAGTATTCAATATCAAAGTCCATATAAAGCAAAACAAAACAGGAGCAGAGCAAACACAGACCTCAAAATTTCAGAGGCGGGATCAGGTGCCATGGAGGAGTGAGCATCCCCTGCCGACCGGTCACACCTGACGTGTGCTCCTTGTCATGATCGAGAAATAACAGAAAAATCTGTCGTTGATTCAGTGTATAAATGATGGATTAACAATTACTATGAAAAATGTCAGTCAGCATTTAACTCAATGATAAATTGTATTTGCTGACAAGGTCATTGTATCGACCATACCGAGAATGCTGAGTTTCATCAACTTGTGTGTGAATAATTTACCTCTTTTTAAAAATTGTTCCTACGTAGAGCAAGCTCTTGTATTTTGCCTTCAACTCGACATTTCGGTTCATGTTCTGTGCTAGTCTCTTTCATGCACTAGCACTAGCCTGTGCTGAGATGGGAGTGCAGTATAATCACGCCTCTGTGCTGCAACCACCTCCATTTCCAGCCATATCAGGCCTCAACTTTCCCTTGTACTTATGTGCTGGTGTGCATCTGGTCACTATCACTAGCCTTTGTCAAATCTATCGGAAATGTTAAAATACATTCTAATACTAGTAAAAATTAACTTAAATTTCTTATGGCTAAAATACCAGAATATGTAGTGCTGAAAGGGACAGGAGAAGCTCCCCTGCTTTTCCAAACTCTAGAATTTTTTTTATCAAAAGGCTAGCCCCCCCCCCCCCTTCTGGTTGGAACATATTCAAAAATGTGTTTATTGAGATATGTTATTATACAGCTCAGTCAGGCAGTGTTCATTTTGTCAAATAATTCTCTGGCTGTCTCCCCCCTTCTATCAAAATGAACACTATCTGTCTGAGTTGTATTATAACATCCCCCACTCATATGAATTAAATTTTGAGTTTATATTCCTCAAACGTCATATTGCTTCAACAACTGTTAGACGGAAGAACTTTACAGGTTTTTTCAAGTATTCTCAAGGCAAAGTGGGTGCTTAAAATTTACCAGTCTATAAATACTTTAGTACCTGGTTTGATCAAGCTCTCTTGTGTACATATTTCACCGAGTTTCCCGGGATAATTCTTTATGGAAGCACACAGGTAGTCAGGTGTTTTTCCTTTGCAATTCTTTATTTTAGCCGTCTTGTTCCATTCTGTCTGGTTCGAGGGACATTTATTGACTGTCACTAATGAGGAAGTCTGTGTTTGAATGATCTCTGGCACCAGAATAAGGAGAAATAAGAAAATAACTAAGCCTCCCATATTTGCAAAAAAATGTTATTCTTGTATTGAAATATATTTTTTCCTGAAAAAAAAGAGAAAACTTTAAATGCACATATTTTTTTGCATATATCCTGCTGCATTATTATACATGTGATTAATATTTTTTTTTCATAAATCCATCATTACAAGCTTAATAAGTGTATTATTAGGAATTCCCAAAGCTCTGTATCCTACTTTCTCCATTTAGAGATATAATTTTTTGATTCTATTGCTTTAAAGTATCTAAAAAATAAAAATTCATTTTACGATTCGTCGTTTACACATTGTCGATACAATTACCTTGTCAGCAAAAACGATTTATCATTGTGTCAAATGCTGACTGACTATTTTCATAATAATTAATAGTCCAATATTTACACACTGATTTGACGACGGATTTCTCCGTTATTTCCCGATCAAAACAAGGATCATACGGCGGATGTGACCGGTCGGCAGGGGATGCTCACTCCTCCATGGGACCTGATCCCACCTCTGATGTTTTTGAGGACTATGTTTGCTTGCTCCTATTTCATATTAATTTATGGACTGTTGATCTTTAATTCTATTCGTTATCTCCATATGTTTTATTATTATGCTTGATATCTAAAATATCAAATATACTATATTATCAACAATGAAAT